CCCTGCGCACACGCCCCATCTGTCGTACCGCTTCATGTGCCACCTCGCCGCCTTAATCAACTACTAAATACAATGTTTCATTGGATCCAATGATGAGCTGGCGGATGACAAAAACAGTGCTGGACGTCCAACGACTAGGTTGCAACTTTTGGGCGTGTTTATTACTATACCATACATGGTTGGAGTGGACCGTGCTCCAAGTATCGGTCGGGACGCCTGCGACTAGCACAGAATGCGAAATACCCTTGTTCTCAAATTTGTCCTAAATGATGGGGAAACATTGAAACTTTTTTAACATCCACAATACCAGGATGTAAACCATCTGCACATAAATAAATTACAAATAGTACAATAGTACAAGAGATGTTCGTTTGTGTTATGCGATCACCTCTCGTCACAGAGATTATCCTCGTGGTGTTGCAGGGCGTGGCGCGGGTAGAGGCGCGCACAGAAGCGGCACTCCGAGGGCAGCTCGGAGACGGTCTTCTCGACGGCCAGGTTGCGGGAGGCCGAGCTGGCCGATATAGCCACGCGGCAGTTAGGGCAGGTGGCCGCCTCGTCGCGCAGCCGCGCGTCCGCCAGCAAATGAGTAAAACAAGGCGCGCACATAAGATGCCCATTTGTGCACTGCAAGGGAAGAGAACCGCTTCAGCATTTCATAACTATGGTTATAGCAGTAACTGGCACAGGGACAAACTTGCTGTGCTATAAATGTTATGGATTTACAATATTGATAAAAAAGTGTGTAAATGAATGGATGTTGGTAAAGATGGGCAGCTAGTATCTAACCAAAGGAAAAGAAGTTGTTTGTAAGTATTCAGTGCAGGTGCAAGTCTCTTACCGTCAGAACCATATGACACACAACTGACTCCAATTTTATGTTACTATAAAATTCCAAACAACAGTAAAACCTAAGACTTACTACTAGTAGTTGATAAATCTTAGTGTTCTCTGTAGTTCAGGCTTCATAGTAACATTTATAACCCGAAAATATATTTATGTAAAATAAAAACAATTTGTGTGGCTTTCTTCAAAGATTATAAACAAAGGTTTTAAACCAAGGAAATGGAGGTTGTAAGGCAAACAGCAATAACACTCTCATATCCTGGTGGTATCCTCAAAGATTTTATCAGACTCTGTGGCAATTATTAACCACTACATTTTATAAAAAGGACACAAATAAATTGTTTTCATGATTTTGACTAACTTATACAAGCAACCCTTTGCTAGATATCTTATGCTATTATTGGTATTACTTACCCACATCACCCCCAATTTTTAGTGGTTAATTTTGTGTATGAATATTTCTAATAATTTGCTTATTATGAGAAAAAGCAGTGTAGCTTAAGATTTACTAAATAAAACTAAAATATTTTTCATAGAATTATAAAGATAACTTCCACACCAGTCAACTGTTGTATCAAGGATACATTACCTCTAACACTGTATAATCTGATGCCTTTGATGTTTTTTTTATGAAAAAAACATTAAATTACCCAGATATTTGTATTATTTTATGAAAAAATACTACAACAACTTGCCTTTGTACTTAGCAAAAAGTACTAAATATCTGTATAATTTTGGAATGAAGAGGTAGGAGAGGAGTTCAATAAAGAAAGAACTACATATTATGAAACTTATTTATTGTAGTGTTTACTACATGTTCCAGTACAAAATATGATTACCCTGTATGCATACACACACGCCCGGCATATAAATGTACAAATTAACAGAACTCATCTTAAATATAACAACAACGCAATTAACTTAATTCTACCTAAGTATTACACAAGTATTAACACAGACATAAATCCCAATGTGATTCAACAACGAAAACGCGAACATTGTTTCTTCATAATCTAGACTAAATATCAACAAAACAACATTTTTGAAACATCATGATAGCAGGATTTTACAATTAAAAATATCACAGGTTTTCCAATAATCATAAACATAACTCAAGTAAATAAATAAGATAAATAGCTAATAAACAAATTGGTAAACAGCTGTGCGGAATACCTGATACACGGCGGCCGGAGGCAGTTCCAGACAAACTGCGCAGCATAAAATACCACACAATCTTTGCTCCAGTTTCTCACATTGCTCATTCTCTGGTACTAATTTACGTTTTTTTGCCACAGGGGCGTCGTCTTTCATTTCAGAATCTTTATTTTCACTAGATGATGACATTGGATCACTTTCTGGAATGTCCGTCATTTCTGTAATTTACACAAGCTTTAAATACAAAATACTTCACAAATCAAGAAATCAAAATAAAATCGAGAAACGTCAAAGTCACAACATAAAGGTAAACATGATGCCCGGTTCACACTTGGTCAGTACAGTTGGACAGTTGCCTGCGAGCTGCAACTATTATACTGGCCAAGTAGTGATGGACTCTAGTTGCTTTTCACTCGAGTAACTCGTAACCACTCTAGTGGTTTATATCGAGCCGATTAAGAAATCTTACAGAAATTTCAGTTTAATTTGTTATCTTTTTAAAAATTAATTATTTATGTTAATTTTAAAGCATGTTTATTATTGTCTAAATTGTGGAACAACATAGTAAAACTGTGCATATTTGGATCTCATGAAAATTCCTTGATGGAATAAATTTAATAGGACTTATTAGTAGTACATTTTTATATTTCAATTCAACTGAGATTTCTTGATTATGGGAGCAGGTTTATTTCGTAGGAAAATTGTGCTTTTAATACGTTTTTAAATTTTTTTGAGTAGCTTTTACATTAATGCCAAAATAAATTTTCTATGTTAAATTAGTTTTGTTTTATTCGTTTTAAAATGTTGGTTACTCGTGTTTTATATTCCGAGTGACTCGAATCAATAAAAATCACTCGAGTCCCATCACAATGGCCAAGTGTAAACCGTGCACATTTACCAGACAGATTCAGAATGAAATTACAGAATACAAAACCCTTTACAACTCTATATAGCTATGGGCATTAGTTAGGGCCTGTGTTCTAGGGCCTATTGGCCCGAAACCAATAAATTATTAAATCTAGGTGCGACAGCCGCAACTAAAAGGCCGAAGCAAGTTCTACGGCTTTGCGAAAATCTAGAGTATTTGCTTTTCTTTCATAAATTCACTGTTCACTATTAAATTTTTGGACTGTAAAAACTTGTTCAAAAATAGCTTTAAAACTAAAATAGTCATTAATTATCAAACATTTGTACCGGGAATAACGAAATCTAAATAAAATTTTAAGAGTTATATCGTGATTTTAATAAATCAAAGAGGTGCAATATGCAAATGTTTTATTGATGTTAAAACATCCACCTTATATTTAATTTCATTTACAAGTACATATATGAAAATGTGCCATTAATTCAGGCTAATCCAATTTTTGTGTCATATCTTTTGTTTTTTTGGTAAAGAGCCAAATGCAGATATGACAGTTCCTTTGGTACCAGTCACATTGCTAGTCAGTGGCTGCTGCACCAACCCCGGCTGCTTGATGGTGGGCTTTGCTGCCACATTAGGGGCCGCTTGGTCCCATTTTGACTTCCGCTTTTTCTCTTCATCACTTTCGGGTTTTTTTGCCACACCTGAAATAAAATCTATCTTGGCCAATTTCTCTTTCTTCTCCTTCTCTCGCCTGTCCATTTCCACTTTTTGCACACGTGCTAATTCATCATAGTATGACTCCTTTCCCCATTTCAAGGGATCATAAATTTCCGGAGGATAATTAGTGTCCAACTCATTGATGTCACAGAACTGTATCAGCTTTTCGTATATGCTAGGATTTCGGAAATTTTTCTTATCTTGTATTATCTTGTTCATGTCTAAACCTTCATTTACCATTCTACTATAGAATTTGGCAATTGTCTCTTGCAATTCCTTAGGACACTTGCCGGGTGGTTCTGGAGGTATAGTTACACCATCTTCTGAGTCGTCAGGGTCAGACCGTTGTATTGCTTCATCTGTATCAGTTTCCATTGAGAGCCTTCTCATGTCGTCTCTATTCTCGGCACTAGGGGAGGACTGATCTTCGTCCGACACTACAGTATCGTCATTGTAAGAAACTAATCTTCTTTTGGGAGATACGGGTGCTGATGAGGACTTGACTGAATCTTCTATTCTATGGGGACTATTAGGTGCCGACTGGATTGATTTACCTTCTTCTTTTTCCGGTGTTTGTTGTCCATCTTCCATATCTTCCTCGCCTTCCGAGTCAGTGTATGTGGCGGTCAGAGACGCTAAAGCTTGCGAGGTCATGTTGTTGTTCTTTCTAACAAAATCAAAATAGATAATCAAGCTCGTCTCCTCAAATGATAAATGAACTTGCTTTATTATTTAAATGATCATTCCAATTCTTTACAAAGAACGACGCTGACAAACTTCTCAATAAAATACTGGTAAAACATTGGATTAATGAATTGAATAAATCATTAACTATAATAAGTTATAACAATGATTTCAATAAAATTACAACCAGTTTTTAAAATATGTTACTGTGCTATGACACCGTGTGACTTGTTGTCATGTCAATATAAACAAAATGTCAAAGTGGCAAAGAGTACAATAATTCTACAAACATCGAAAGAATTGATTTCTGACAACTCTAGGTCACTGTTAGAAAGGGACGTGGCGGACACTTGTAGCCCTCTTACTAGATTTCAATTACATTTTGCGTGCAATAAGACTCTTACGCCCTTAGCATAGGTTTACTTTATTTATTTTAACTGCAAGATGTACAGATATAACTCATTCCTGTTGCATGTAGTGCTTATTACTTCCATGTTTCTCACGAAACAAAAGTGTCATTCTTAGCAATGACTATCCTATCTATTTATACAGATCAGTGCCTTGTGGCTTTGTCATAACTTGACTTGACAATTAGTGATGGGACTCGAGTGATTTTTTTTCACTCGAGTCACTCGGTACTCGTAACTTTCTCACTCGAATG